GCCCTGTGTGCCCCATACACGCTGGACTCACCGTTGTCCCTAACACCCTGTGGATGTTGCTGGCCTCAGGATCAGGTAAGAGATGAGATACAGGCCAGCTCTCCCTGCTCCCTTTCCCCTCCCGACTCTCAAGTTCTTTGAATCCAAGCCTATTTAGGATTTCACCTGGCAGTCTCTTCTAAACTCTTGGCTCAAAACTTACCTCTGTCATAGGCCATCTCCTAAGAACCTGGGTGTTTGGCTTTTCTTTTTTTTTTAAATTATAAAGACAATTTGTGACCATCGTAGGTAATTGTGAAGTACCTAAAGTACCCAGAGGCAATCACTGTTCACATCTTGATATACTTATCAGAATTGCTTTTTAAAAGACCAATTTTCCATTTTTTCCCATGTAATATATAGTATTTATTTATTTGTTTATCTATTTATTTAGTTTTTTCAACAATTTATTGTATTGGTCTATTCATTTCTTAACACACTTATTTTTAACCAAACTTCCCTTCAATGTGTATCCAGACATAGAGACTATTTTTTGTCATAATCATCACTAGATGGGATCAAGAAGAAATCCTTCCAGAACTATGAGTTTGTAACTAAAAGATAAAGGCACTCCTTGAAAACAGAGAGAGGGGTATTCTCCTTTAAAATGATCTTTGGCTCTCTGAGGAAATATTTTTGTCCCAACAACTTAGATACCTTGTTATTGCACTAGAGTTATTTAAAAATGTGATCTCTGGTCTCCTAACTACAACTCAAGTTTGCAACCCTCCAAAAGATTGTCAAACACAAAGCCTGTGCATCAGATGACTATGATCATGATAATTCTGCATAACAAACAATGACACATCTTGCAGCATATACAGAAAGCATCTATTCAGCTCATGAGTTTTGAGGTTGGCTGGGGCTTGGCTGATCTAGCTGGATTTTTCTGGGCCAGCCTTCTGGCCCTGGGTCCAATTTGGGTTGGCTTAAAAAAATTATTTACAGTTGACATACCGTATTATATTAGTTTCAGGTGTACACCCCAGTGATTAGACATTATACAGCTCACTAAGTGATCATCCCAATAAGTCTCATACCCATCTGACACCACACATAATTATTAGAATACTAGAGGCCCAATGCACAAAATTCATACATGGGGGTGGGGGGTTCCCTCAGCCTGGCCTGCACCCTCTCCAATCCATGACCTGTCAGATATCCTTCTCGAAATTCGGGACTGCTGGCTCCTAACCACCTCTGCCTTCTGGCCTAATCACCCTAACTGCTCTCCCCTGCTGGCCTGATCGCCCTAACTGCTCTCCTGCTGACCTGATCCCCCTAACGCAGTGGTTCTCAATCTTGGCTGCACATTAGAATCACCTAAGAATCTTTGTAAAATCCTGATTTCTGGGCCTCATCCTCCAGAAATTCTGTTTCTTTGTTATGGGGTGGGGCCACAACATTAGTAACAAAGAAACAGAATTTCCGGAGGATGAGGCCCAGAAATCAGGATTTTAAAAAGACTCCCAGGTGATTCTAATGTGCAGCCAAGGTTGAGAACCACTGCCCTAACGGCTCTCTCCTGCAGGCCTGATAGCCCCTAACCGCCTCTGCCTCAGTCCCACCACCATGGCTTTATCCAGAAGGATGTCTGGAAGGTCACCTGGAAGATATCCAGTCTAATTAGCATATTACCCTTAATTAGTTTAGATTATTGACTACATTCCCATGCTGTACTTTATGCCTCATTACTATTTTGTAACTACCAATTTGTACTTCTAAATCTCTTCACCTTTTCCCATCTCCCAACCCTGATCATTCCATCTGGCAACTACAAAATGTTCTCTGCATCTTATATGTATAAGTTTGTTTCTGTTCTGCTTGTTTATTTTGTTTTTTAGATTCAATTGTTGATAGATATGTATTTATTGCCATTTTATTGTTCATATTTTAATCCATTTTTCCCCCTTCTTCTTAAAGAAAACCCTTTAACATTTCATGTAATACTGGTTTGGTGATGATGAACTACTTTAGCTTTTTCTTGTCTAGGAAGCTCTTAGATGTCCTTGAATTCTAAATGATAGCTTTGCTGGGTAGAGTAATCTTGGTTGTAGGTCCTTGCTTTTCATCACTTTGAATATTTCATGCCAATCCTTTCTGACCCACAAAATTTCTGTTGAGAAATTAGCTGAATGTCTTATGGAAGCTCCCTGTAGATAACTGCTTTTCTTTTACAGTTTTTAAGATTATCTCTTTGTCTTTAACCTTTGACATTTTAATTATTGAATGTCTTGGTGTGGGCCTCTTCTGGGTTCCTCTTGTTTGGGATTCTCTGCACTTCCTGGACTCATATGTCTATTTCCTTTACCAGGTTAGGGAACTTTACTGTCATTATTTTTTCAAATAGGTTTTCGATTTCTTGCCTTCTCTCTTTTCCTTCTGACAACCCCATGATGGAAATGTTGGTATGCTTAATGTTATCCCAGAGGTTCCTTGCACTACCCTCATTTTTTTTTTTTTTCTTTTTGCTACTCTGATTGGGTGTTTTTTGCTTCCTTATATTCCAAATCACTAATTTGATTCTTGGCCTCATCTACTCTATTGTTGATTCCCTGAAAATTATTATTCATTTCAGTTAGTATATCCTTCATTTCTGACTGGTTCTTTTTTTATGGTTTCCATGTCCTTTTTTTATGCAGTTGAAGTTCTCATTAAGTTCATTACGCATTGGTATAACTAGTGTTTTGAACTCTGCATCTATAGATTGCTTGTCTCCATTTTGCTTAGTCTTTTTCTGGAATTTAGTTCTGTTCTTTTATTTGGGACATCTTTCTTTGTCTCCTCATTTTGGCAATCTCCCTGTATTTGTTTCTATGTATTAGGTAGAGCTGCTACCTCTCCTGGGCTTGGTACAGTGGCCTTATGTAGTAGGTATTCTGTAGAGTACAGTGGCACAGCCTCCCTGATCACCCAAGCAGGGCACTTGAAGTGAACCCCCCAGGTGGGCTGTGTATACTTTCCCCTTTTTTAAAAAAAATATTTTTATTGATTTCAGAGAGGAAGGGAGAGGGAGAGATAGAAACATCAATGAGAGGGAATCATTGATCGGCTGCCTCCTGCCCGCCCCCTACTGGGGATCGAGCCTCCAACCCGAGCATGTGCCCTTGATCAGAATCGAATCTGGGACCCTTCAGTCCATAGGCCAATGCTCTATCCACTGAGCCAAACCGGGTAGGACTATACACCCTCATCTTGTAGTTGAGCCTTGATTGCTGTTGGCAAGTCCATGGGAGGGATTTACCCCCACGCCAATCAGATGCAAGGACTGGCTGTGATCGTTGACCATGGAGGATCAGCTGTGCAGGGGTCCACCTCACAGAGGACTTACTTCAGCAGGGCTCTGGTGCCTGCTGAGTCAGTCAAACAGAGTCTTTGCATCAGATGACTACAGTCATGATAATGCTATATAACAAACCACCACACATCTTGAGTGTGTCTCTTGTGGAGATGGTTGTGTGGTACTTCAATGTGTCTGAAGCTGTCTACTGGGTGTGCTGGCTCTGGGGCCTCCCAGAAGGTGCAGGCTAAAGTCAACCACTATCGTGTTCTGCTCTGGGGCATCTTGAATGAGCTCCAGGGTGATCTGCAGATGGCTGCCACTTGTGTTGGGCTTGAAGGTGCCCAGGTAAGGCCACACTGTGAACCAAGGCCGGCTGCTGCTAGTGCCAGGCCTGGGGCCACTTAACAAGAGGTATGGGGCAATCTGAGGCCAGCTGTTGCTTAAAAGATTTTAGGAGAGTCTGAAATATGAGCCAAAATAGGCCATTCATATGGAAAAGCCACTGAAAACAGTTTGGGTGGATCTCCAAGTAGGTTGGGGCAAGGAATCACCAGGGTGGGGCAAACAGTGTGAGCCAGGTTGATGGAGTCTCAGATATAGTGCCCACCTTCCAGCTGTGTGTGTGTGTGGCAGGGGGTGTCTCAGAAAAAGGAACAATGGCTTCTACCAGTCTGGCATAAAGTTGCCCCTCCAGCTGTTGCCCTGATGCCAGACAATTCAGTTCCTCCCTATATATCCTTGGGGCTTTTTGAGCTGCTGCCCCATCACTGGAGATCAGAGGAAGTGAGTCTGAGTAAGTCCATGCATGGACCCTTAAGAGGAACTGCCTGGGACTCCAGCAGCCTTCACAATCCCCCTGGTTTTTATAACCAAGTTATGGGGACTTCTCTTCCTGGCACTGGAACCCTGGGCTGGGGGCCTAGTGTGGGACTAGGACCCATCACTTCTCAGTGGAGACCTCTCCAGCCTAGATAATTCTACCAATTTTTATCTGCCCATTCCATGTCTCTGCCTCTCCTACCAGTCTTGATATGGTTTCTTTTTGTTTGTTAATCGTCACCTGAGAATATTTTTTCATTGATTTTTAGAGTGCATGGAAGAGAGACAGAGAAACATCTTTGTGACAGAGACACATTGATTGGTTGCCTATGCTCCAACACTGGCCAGGGTTATGGTTTCTTCTTTAAATCCCTAAATTGTAGAACTTCCATTCAGCTAGATTATAGGAAGTTCTGAATGAAGAAGCTTAGTTATAATTTTGATATGGTTGTGGGAAGATACGGGTATGGCATTTACCTATGCCACCATCTTGACAGGAAGCCTCATACATATAGTTTTTAAAAATCCAAGAGGATAGAAGAAGTTTGATGAGGACTAGCCATCTATGCCTTCTCCCCACCCCGAAACTGTCACCCCAGAGTTCCTGAGGTCACCTCCCCAGCTCTAAAAAGATCTTAGATTCCTTGTATTAGATGGAATGCTTTTACTAGCATTTAACAGAACACTTCAGAGTGGCTTAAGCAGTAAGAATGTTTATTTATTTCAAAGAATGATAAGTCCAGAAGTCAGTGGTTTCAGGTGCCTAGGCTCTGGGTCAGCAGAGAGCTGCATCTCCGGGCCTTCCCCTCCTGGTCACAATGTGGCTGTCAAAGCTCCAAGCGTCACGTTTCACCTAAGCAGAAAGGAAGAGGCAGGGCCAAGAAAGCTCCCAGGTTATTTCTTTAATCAGGAGGAAAGTGCTGCCTGAAGATGTCCCTTTATGAGATCCTAGTCAAAATTGGGTCACAAGAGTTCTCTGAACAGCATCTGCTATACCCTCTATCTAGTTCCTAAGATCCACTGATGTCCCTCCCACATGGCAGATAGGCTTTAGGTCACTTGGAAACTACGTCCCTCCATTCCTGCTTCTCCCAACACAGTTTTAAAGTACCTCAACTATTTATCTGTTTAATTTTAAGACATCTTGTCTCTTCACTCCTGTTCCACTGGTGTTCACAGAGGCTCTTGCCTCCCCACTACCATTCTCATCAGCCCTCCTACCCACTCCCTACATTGGTATCTCCCAACTTCTGTATCTTTACTTTCATGTTGTAATGGGTGATAATACTGACATTCTATGCTGAAACCATAATCAAATCCAGGCAAATACAAAAATTGAATATAAATGAAAACTGGAAAGGAAAAGACAAAATTATCATTATTTGAGACAACTATTCCATCTATTTCCTGTGGGTACCTATCCATATATTTACAAGTTTTTAGAAAGTTTAGAAAAGTGCACACTGAGCCCATTACAGTGGCTACCTCTCGGGAGAAAGAAGGAAATGGGGCGGCAGTGGGTGGCCAAAAGGGACTTGAGCTTCATCTGCAATGTTCTAGTTTTTAAAAAGGAGAATATATTCATGTTTCACTGGTATCATTAAACTTTAATTTGAAAAAATTCCCATTCATTTTCAGCCAATTATGCCAGCTCTGTGTGTCTGGCAGTGCTGGCATGTTTGTGCCCAGGGAGAAAGAACATTTACTTTGTGTGTGTATATGAATGAAATACAGTAATTAGTAAGTAGATTTAGAAAAATGTAACAAGCAAAAGCAAAACAAGAAAGGGGGTGAGAAGAGAACTCCTTCACAATCACAATACAAACTAGAGGAACAAACCCATTAGGAAACTGATAGCTTCTTTATGGAGAAAACTGTAATATGTGGCTGAAAGACACACTAGATGATCAGAATAAATGTAGGGCTCCACGGTATTCATAAGTTGAAAGGCTCAGTATTGTATTGATTCAATTTTCCCCAAATTGATCTTTAAATTCACAGAACTTGACAGGCAAGTTTTAAAATTCATGTGGAGGACTTAATGTGCAGTAATAGTTAGATTAGATCATTGGAAAGGAAGCACAATGAAATGGAGCATTTTATTTAATGATACCAAAATGGTATAAAGTTATAGCAAATAAAATATTCTGGTACAGACAGGAATATATAAACCGATGAAACAGAACAGGGGCCTCAGACCTCCCTAGCACTTCAGCTCAATGGAGAAAGAACGTACTAGTCAATCTACTGTGCTGCAATTATCAGCTCTATGTTTGGAGAAAGGTTAGATCATATCTTATTTCAATCATAAAATATATTGCAGATGCATTAAAGACCTAAATAAAAACAAAATTATCAGAAAAGAATACAGAATATATTTAAGCCTTAGGAGTAAAAAAGACCTACAATAGGATATATAAATAAAGGGAATGGAGGAAAAGATTGCTACATTTGATTATGTCAAAATTGATAACTTGTCTAACAAAAGATCCTACAGAGTTAAATAAAAAAAAACAACAACAGATAATTAAGAAAGAGAAAATACAAAAGTCATACACATATTAAAATCTCACTAGCAAACAGGTATTATACATTTTTTAAATGATTCAATTTTTCATCTATCAGATTGGCAAATATTTAAAACAACTGCTTATGGTATGGAGATTAGAGCCTTCTCATACCCTCTGGCTGGAAATTTAAATGGTACATAAATTAAGGAGGATACTTTAGTAATATTTGTTAAAACTAAAAATGTGGAAAGCATGAGACCCCAAATTCCATTTCTGAATCACTAGCCTAGAAAAACAGTGGAGGCATGTGCAGGCGGTTTTCCTACAGTGCTGCTTATAGAAAAGGAAGCAACTTAATGTCTGTAGATCTTGGGGAAGAGGAAATGAGGTACATTCATGGGAATAAATACAATGCAGCTAATAAAGGATTGGGCAAGAGCCATTTGTATCAATATGAGTATATCTTAAAATAAAAAAATAAGTGAAAAATGCAGCTCACTCTAAAGTCCCAATAAAGTGGGATGATTCATTCAAAATACCTACATTAATACTATGGAAGGAGACAAAACTGTGGACAGGGTGGGAAACTCAGACTTCAGGGAATGGCTAAAGGCAACTTTAGCTATATTCACATTGTTCTACTTTTAATAAGGAGAATGCATTCACCCTTTACTTGTTTGATTAAAGTATAATTGGAAAAGATTCTAATTTGTTTTCAGCCAACTCCACCGGCTCTCTGTTTGGCTGTGCCTGAATGTTTGTGCTCAGAGAGAGAACGTTTACTTTGTGTGCATGTCTGCAAATCAGGTACAGGGATTATTAGCAAATGGGTTGCAATGGAATATGAAGGAACAAGGACCAGACAAATAAGGGGAGAGGGAGACCTATTCTCAGTTGACAGCAAAACCTATAATAACCCTAGAAACACATTTATCAGGAAATGCACAAGACTTTGACCACAGAAAATCACAAAACATCCCTGAGAGATAAAAACGCTGACTGGAACTGAGAAATATAGCAATGTGCATTGGTAGGGAGACTCAGTATGACAAAGATGCCAATTTTCTTCAAAGTTATCCATAAACTCAATGTAATCCCAATTAAAACCCTAGCAGAAATTTTTCTCCAACTTGACAGGCTGATTTTAAAATTCATGCAGCGGGACAAACATGCAAGGATGACCAAAGCAATTTAGCAAAAACAACAAAGAGGGTGGGATTTGTCTCGCCTGTTAGCAGAGCATATTATCAAGCTCGGGAGTAGACAAATAGATTAGTGGACCAGAAAGAGCTCTGACATAGACCCGCATTGGCATTTAGTGTCAGGCAAAAGTAGCAATTTGAAATCACAGAAATGATGGATTATACAATAAGTGACATTGAAAAAAATTGGTTATCAATTTTGATATTTATGAAAATTAAACACCAATATCACATTAAAAATAAGCTTCATATACAGTAAAGTCTTAAATGTGAAAACTGTAAAATAATGCCAAATATAAATACAAGAAAGAGAACTATGTAAGCTTTAGAAAAAAATATAGAAAAAATGGTTGTGATCTTAGTTAACAGAAGGCCTTTTTAAGGCAAGACTCTACATTTGACATAAAAATTAAAAGTTCTATTATAAAGGATACCGTTCAGTTAAAAGACAAGGTTCAGAATAGTAGAGAATTATGTTCAATGCATAGAGTGGACAGGGAATGAGTATTAAGGAAATATAAAGAATTCCCATAAATCAATAAAAGAAGATAACTCAGAAAAAATATGGACAAAGGATATGCACAGATGATCCCAACAGGGGGAAATATAAATGGCCAGAAACCTGTGAGGACAACACATAATGACCAGTCACTTAGGAAAATATAAATTAAACCAAGAAGAAAGCATTTTTTTTTTTTTTTTTACCCATTTGAGCTATAAACCTTAAAAGCTGGCCATGATCTGGAAAAAATATGAATTTACAGTTACTTGTGGAAGGAGTTTTAATTGGCACAGCCACTTCAGAAGCCAACCTGGGCCATGTCTAATAAAACTAAAACAGTGGACAACAGAGAGGCCAGATTTCACTCTCAGTACCTATCTCATAGAAACATTTCAAGAGGCTGTTCCCAGCAGCATTCTTCATAATAGGGGGAAAACCCCTCAGGGTCTGTGCATGCTAATAAAGGGAACACAGGGTACAGCCATGTGAAGGGGTACTAACAGTTATTATAAGGCGGGAATAAGAGCTGCTATATCACTAACATTGTAGATCTCAAAAATATAAGACTGAATGAAAAAATGCAGGATATAGTACAATACCTATGATGTGGTATTATTTATTTGAAATGCCTCCATCAGTACTGTGTGGAGGGTGATACATAAAACTGAACCAGCAGCCACCTCTGTGGAAGGGGAAGGAACCAGGATCTCAGGTGGCCAAAAGAAACTTTAGCTATATTCATATTGTTCTACTTTTAATAAGGTGAATGCATTCACCCTTTACTTGTTTGATTAAAGTATAATTGGAAAAGATTCTAATTTGTTTTCAGCCAACTCCACCGGCTCTCTGTTTGGCTGTGCCTGAATGTTTGTGCTCAGAGAGAGAACGTTTACTTTGTGTGCATGTCTGCAAATCAGGTACAGGGATTATTAGCAAATGGGTTGCAATGGAATATGAAGGAACAAGGACCAGACAAATAAGGGGAGAGGGAGACCTATTCTCAGTTGACAGCAAAACCTATAATAATCCTAGAAACACATTTATCAGGAAATGCACAAGACTTTGACCACAGAAAATCACAAAACATCCCTGAGAGATAAAAACGCTGACTGGAACTGAGAAATATAGCAATGTGCATTGGTAGGGAGACTCAGTATGACAAAGATGCCAATTTTCTTCAAAGTTATCCATAAACTCAATGTAATCCCAATTAAAACCCTAGCAGAAATTTTTCTCCAACTTGACAGGCTGATTTTAAAATTCATGCAGCGGGACAAACATGCAAGGATGACCAAAGCAATTTAGCAAAAACAACAAAGAGGGTGGGATTTGTCTCGCCTGTTAGCAGAGCATATTATCAAGCTCGGGAGTAGACAAATAGATTAGTGGACCAGAAAGAGCTCTGACATAGACCCGCATTGGCATTTAGTGTCAGGCAAAGGTAGCAATTTTAAACCAGTGGATAAATAATATATTATTCCATAAGTGGTGTTGGAACAATTATTTATCTTTAGAGAGGTGGGGAGGGATTAAAGTTAGATCCTAAGATTCATGTGTATAGAGTTTATTTTATATATAGAATAAAGGCTTAAATATATACATGTATGCAAACTATAAATTTTAGAGAAGAAAACACAGAAATGTTTTTGAACTTGATATAGGGAAGGCTTTCTTAAATAAGACTGTAAATTTATCAGTTTTTTATCTATTAAAACGTAAAATTTCTCTAAGATAAAAGATACAATTAAATTACAAGAATCAATGTAAGAAAACATTTATAACATACATAACAAGGTATTAGTATTCAAAATGCATAAAGAACTCCTAAAAATCAATAGCACAAAGACCAAAAAATCTTTAAAAAGTAGGTAAAGGGTATGGACAAGCAATCCAGAGGAGGAAATATAAATAGATAGTAAGCACATGAAGATTTCAGCCTTGCAGGTATATTCAGAAAATGCAAACTAAAGCAAGATATTATTTTTCACTCATCAGACTGGTTAAAAATGTAGAATTTGGAGATGGCCTGGGTAAACGGACACTCTCACACATTGCTAGCAGGAAATTCCATTACTATGGCACTTTGAAGAACATTTTAGCAGTCTCTAGTAGAATTTAAGATGTGTATACCTATGACATATCAATTCCTCTTCTAAGTATTTTTCAGAGAAACACTTGAATGTATGCAAACAGGCAATGTCCAAGGAAGCGCTTAATGGCTTCGTCTTAATGTAGTGACACTGGGAACATTTTAAAAGTCAATCCGTAGGAAGCAAGGAAGTCAAACGTGGTGTATCGGTTATGGCCGCCGGTTGCCAGCTGCAAGGAGCACTGTACTGTTTGGCAGGCTATACCAGGGTCCCGTAGGGTGCACTAAGCTGAGAGCAACACCTCCAGCGTGTACACACCATGTCTGTGCAAACAAACACATACACAAAGAGAATAAAAGATGTGTTTCAATGGGCAGAGGAAAACATTTTGGGTAAACAGCAAAAGCCTAAGAACAACTACCTCTGAATGGGGGGAGGGGCCTGAGGAGGTGGTGTGGGAGGTCAGAAGAAACCTCTTTATCTGTAAGGCTCTAATTTTATGTATAAGAAAATATATTCATGTATTACTTGTATAATTAAAATTTAATTCACAAGTTCTAATTCATTTCCAGCCAATTAGCTCTACTTTACATGTGTACTGTGTTCTCATTTGTGTGCCCAGGGACAAAGTACATTTATTTTGTGCCTGTGAATAAAGCATCATGATTAATAAACTGATTAAAACTTGGAAAACAAAAAGAAAAAGAACCTTTTTCCACTCACAGAAGCCACAAAATTGATAAGGTGGGTACACAGGCATAAATCTATTAAGAAATGTGACAAAAGCGACCAACCATTATTAAAAGTCATTAAAAACCAAACCAAACAAGTAAGACTGATTAAATGGAGACAGATACCATGTTTATAGATGGGAAGAACTGATATCCTGAAGATGTTATTTCTCCCTTCAATGCAATCCCACTCAAAATTCCACCAGGAGGTTTTTTTTTCATGGTAATCTGACAAGCTGATTCTAAAATGTATGTGAAAAAGTAAATGTGTAATATGACCAAGGTTAATTTATAAAAGAATAAAGAGCCAGGAAGAGAGAGGTATTTACCATATTGGGTAGCAAGATAAAGCTATGCTCATTAAAATCTGGTATTGGCCTAGTAGTAGACAAATAGATCCACAGATCTGAATAGAGTCTAGACATAGGGAACTGGGAGAAAAAATGGGGTGGGGACAATAAATAGTGCTTACTGGTTATCCATTTGGAAAAAGACCAAGTTAGACCTCTGTGTCACATCATACAAGGAAATACATTTCAGATGGATTAAGGACTTAAACATTTTATTAAAATTTAGGAATTTTAGATGCAAATATAGAATATATCATTCACATGATGGGGAAGCTTCTTAACAAGAGCACAACCTGCTCCGATGCCAGTTCTGCAGATTCCGGCACTGTAGTTTGAAAGGATGCTTTAATATCTGGTAGGTCTCCAGTCGGACTGTACTTCCAACCTCCTGCAAGTGCCTGTGGAATATCTCCATCTGGACCCGGCAGGTCTCTCTTCCTCTTGAGCTCAACCTGGTCCTGGGAAGAGGGATTGTGATACTGGTTGGACTGAGTGCTGAACCCAGCTCCTGCCACTTAAGCTGCATGTCAGCAAGGCACTTCCTTCTCTGGTTTCCGTTTCCTCTATGAAATGGGGCAATGCTGTGTCTTGTGGGGGGATGTGAAGTTCATATGAGATGGGGAGTGTAAACAGAACACAGAAGTGGCAGAGATTACAAGGATGAGAGAAGCCAACTCTACTTTTTCTCCACTCACCCACCCAAGCCCCTGCCACCCATGACTTATTATCCCAATTCTTTCTTCTTTACTGCATTCTGAAGAATTGTCACACATTCTTTTTGGTCAAAAGTTTTAATGTTGACTTCAGATATTTGATTCCAGGGCAGAAAATACCGATTCAGCACCCAAAGTGCTTACTGCTTGTTGCTAGGTGCTGAGAAACACAAAAAATAGTTAAGACCTGATTCCAGCCATGAGGCAGGAGAAAACTGGTGCTAATTAGCACTGTAGTAAGTACACAGGTCAGAGAAAAGCTCCCAAAAGAATATGAAGATCGAATTACTCTCTAAAAGGTAAATAATTTAATTTTGCCCCTTCCAGTCAAATACACATTATTGCCCTAAACTAACTTATCCACCTCAACACTTGATCCCAGTCCTTTGGGAGCTCATTTCACTAATTGTCTCCATCCATAATCTCTTTGTCGCTCGGGCTCACATCCCTCAGAATATTCATATACCAGCGCTGTTCTTTCCTGTAAGATTAAAATTAAAAAGTCCTAGCCCTGGCTAGATGGCTCAGTTGGTTGGAGCGTCATCCCATAAACCAAAAGGGTGCAGGTTTGATTCCTGGTCAAGGCACATAACCAAGTTGTGGGTTCAATCCCAGTTGGGGCGAGTATGGGAGGCAACCAATGGATGTTTCTCTCATATTAATGTTCCTCTCTCTCCCTCTCTCTCTCTACCTCTCTCTTAAAACCAACAGAAACATATCTTCAGGTGAGGATTTAACAATAATAATAAAAAATAAAATAAAAAAACATATCCTCGGGTGAAGATTAAAAAATAAAAAGCCCTAGACTTTGCTCCTTCCTCTTTATTCTCCTTAGTCAATACTTCTCCCAAGCTGCCTCTGGTAAAGGTCCCCAGAGGTCTCTCATAGGCGCTGGGAGGTGCCAATCAGCACCACCACCAGGCTGTCCAATTCCAGGGGCATCATGTTGATTGTGCAGTTGCACATTGGAGGGGCTCACCAATCAGCCCTTGTCCCGTGACCTCTCTGCACATACCCTCTGCTGTCCATTTCAGCTTTCTACTGAAAGACCACTCTGGCCCTTTCTTTTTAGTAACCTAGGAAGGTGTTTTTTTCTTCCTTTTATAGTCCCCAAATGTTGGTGCTTCCTGGGCTAGGTTCTGGCTTCTTCCTCAGCAGTCCTCACAGCCCCAGAATGCTCCAGAAACCTGACATCACTTCAGTTCACATTTCCACCCAGGATTCCTCAGGAGCTCTGAACCAGTCTCTGCAATTTCTCACTCTGTACTCCGCATCTATGCATTCAGCCACTTCCCTCCCTACCTCCGTTTGGATGAGTCTCAGCTGTCTACCACCCTGGGGTAGACTTGGGGGCTGCCTCATAGACACAGTCCCTTTCTAGGGCTCCCCAGTTCTGAGAATGGCACTGCCACCTCACCAGTAAGGCACACCAGAAACTCAGGGGTCACCCTGAATACCTCCTCCTCTCCCTGTCCCTCTTCAATCCATCCAGCACCAAGATTAACCAGAATATGTTGACTGTCCAGATCCTGGCCACTACAATGACATAAGCTTCTTAACTGGTCTCCAACTCTATGCTGCCCTAATGACTTCTCCATAGAACAGCCAGTCTCAGGTTATAGTGATATACTAGGGTAGGTCTCAACCCAGCTTTCCTTATGTATATCTCCATATCTCTGTACAGCTAGCACTGCCTGCCTCTCTGGTTTCACCTCACCCCCGTTTGCACAGGCTGTTCCGTCTGCCCAGAGTGCTTTCCTCCAATTTGCTCTGTCCCATTAACTCCTTCCCCTTCTTAACAAACTGGTTCAAGTGTCACCTCCTCAGGGGAGCCTCCTGGAGTCAGCCTAGGGCAGGTCCCCTATTGTATACCTCCAGCACTTAGTGTCTTTCCTTCAGAGTGCCTATCGATGTTGGAAATGGTACGTTTATGTGATTATCTGATGCATGTGTTTCTCCCCTAAACCAAAAAAGCTTCATGAGAACAGGGATTCTGTCTACTTTAATTCATTTACCCAAGTATCCATAGTGTTAGGCACACAATAGGTGCTAAGTTAGACAATACAGAATGAATAAACTTTTGGTCACTAAAGAATGCATATCACTTGTGGGAGTTGATGTCTGCCTCCTATGCTCAACCTCCCACCCCATCCCTCACATCATGAAGTCTTTCTTCCAGACTCTTCAAAGGACTCTTGGTGGTGGATTCACCTCCCCCTAATATCTCAACATTATTCCAGCCTATGCCCGATCACTCCCCCAAAATGCTCTTATTTAGGTCACCAAAAGTTTATTAATTATCAAATCCAAAGTAGAAAATTCTGTCTTATTGGAATTCTCTGCTCTGCTGCATTTGACAGTGTTGATTACTTTCTTCTTGAAACTCTTCACTACCTTGGTCGCCATGGCAACCCACTCTCCTAGTTGTTTGCCACATCTTTCTCCTTAGTTGCCTGCCCACACTTTGACTGGTTCTTCAAATGTCACTGTAAATCAGGATTCTGCCCAGGGCCCTATCCCATTCTCTCTCTGGTGATCTCACTCATTCTCAGGGTTCCCATTACTCTTTGAGTGGGCATGGCTCTAGGCTGGAAATTCTGGTCAAATCTCTTCCTGAGCTCCAGATGTGGATCCAAGAGCCTGCTGGGTGTGACCCAAACCACTTGGCTGTATCTAAGTCCACTGTCTTGCCCCTCAAACTGGCTCCCCATGCTGCCTGTGTTCCCCATCTCAGGGGCCTCCCCACCATTCACTCTGTCACCCATCCAAGTCATCCTTGTCATTACCCTCTCTCATATCCTAATGGCTAATCATTCACCAATTATTTCTGTTTTTTAACTACTACAAATTTCTGACCTATTTCTCTCCATCTCCACTGGTCTAGTTCAGGCCTCTCACTCTCCTATCTGGACTCTGCTCCTCTCTGCCTCTGGGCTAGTTCTTATAATGGATGTCTGGGGATTTGGGCTTTCTAGTATCCCTTATTCTTCCCTAATGCCTCTTGTAACACTTTAGGGAAATTTCCTGTTCCCTGTTTTATGTGGCTGTGCTGGGATGAGACTGATCACACACAGAAGCAACAGAGGCTCTTCCTCCAAGTTATGCCTCTCATTATCCAGGTCCTCAGGGGGTGGCATGAGGCCTGAGCTCAGCCAGTTAGACCAAGGCTCTCTCCTGATTTTGAGTTCTGTCCAAATATGACAGAAATAGAATTATTTGATGTCTAAGACAGCAGTCACCAACTGGTGGTCCGCGAGGTCTGAAAAGTTGGCGACCACTGGTTTAAGGAGACACCACCAGGTACCCTGAATGTAGCATTTAAGATTGTGCCCCAATCCTCTTCTACTTCATTGCCCATCATTCTCTTCCTCTAATCTGCCTCTCTGGGCCTCAGCTTCCTAACCTGGGAGATGGGGCTAATGGTAACCCACTTGGTGTGGGAGGATGGGGTTAGGATGATCAGATGAGATAATGGTCATGACCCCACCATGTAAACTACTAGTATAAAGAGCTATGTCCACACTGGAGT